CCCACCACCCTACCCCCAGTTTTATTTTTCTTAATCACTGCTTTTAACTGTGCTCTACTAAATCTTCCTTCACTGCTGAATGGCTGACCCCTTAATGGTATCTTACACAGATCCCCATAGCTTTCTGGTTACTTCTAGTTATGAAAACAGTGTGTCCAGTTTAAAACTCTTGATCATGGCCAGTTGCAGTGGCTCACACCTATAATCCCAGAATTTTGGGAGGCTGAGGTGGGAGGATTACTTGAGCCTCTGAGTTCAAGACCCAATCTGGGCAACACAGTGAGATCCTGTCTCTACAAAAAATTAGCTGGGCATAATGGCATGTGCCAGTAGTCCCAGCTACTCAGGAGACTGAGGTAGGAGGATTGCTTGAGCCCAAGAGTTTGAGGCTGCAGTGAGCCATGACTGCATCACTGCACTCCAGCCTGGGTGACCCTGTCTAAAGAAAATAAAAATTTCAGAAGCTATTTGATCTCAAATCTATTTCACAACTATGTCCTGGTTCTTTTGTAGGTCAGACCTGTGTTTTGTGGGATCAGAAGTGATCAGAGAATGTGCGGTCTATTCTTTCATTCTTCCTCCTATCCTAGCACTTTGGGGTATGGGGTGAAGTGTAAGGAATAGGGTTGCCTCCTCCTTCCTTCAAATCTACCTCCTTCAGTGTGGGGTAGGGGAGTGGGATAGGTGAGGTAGAGATCTTACCTAACTGGTAGCCTGTGAGTGATGGGGAAGTATGCCTGATTTTGTTTTAATCTAGTTCCATCTGTCACTAATGAACTCTATTAATGTGGTAGTAGTCTCTGCATAGATGGGGTGTGTGTGTGTGTGTATGTTGGAGAGCAGTGTTTAATTTCCAGCTCTCCCCGTCACTGAGGAGCTCTGGCTCCCATTGGCCCCTGTCAGTTCTTTATGCCCTGAATCATTTCTCAGGATGGGGTACAGTATACCCCATCTGCAGGGTTCCAAGACCCCTCCCAGTGAATGCCTGAAACTGTAGATAGTATTGAGCGTGATGTGTACATTGCTATGTTTTTCGATCCAATAACTGAGACAGCTACTAAGTAACTAAGGGCCGTTCATCTAGGAAGTGGCATCAGTCTCCCTTATTACTGGTACCTCTACATCTGGCTATTTCCTAGAGCCTTCTCTGCCTACTCATTTGGCTTTGGAGTTCAGGGCAGAGAAAGAGGGGAGGGAAAATCTTCCCATTACAAACATTATACTGTACTCCTAAGGACTCTTCGACATCCTCTCTTCATAGTCTTCCTTTTATATACTATGATGGAAATGGAGATGGTGGGAAGATAGCATAGGTAGAGTTCTTAAACCCCAAAGGAAGTATCTGGCCCCAGATACTGAAGGTTGTTTTTTAAAATATGTGGTACTTAACACTTCTGTTTTCCTAAACTTTGGAGCTTTTTGGCAATTTCAGAGTAAAAGAAAATTTTCACTGAATGCCTTGTAGCACTTTTTCTTTCACTGTTCCCCAGTACAATATTATTGTCTAGTATTTATGTGTATTTTGAAGTTAGGAATGCTTATAGGAACCTAGGAAGACCATAATAAATGTGTACTCAAATGGATCAAATTATCATTAAAAACATTTATTAAATGCTTATGTGGCATTTTACTGATATTGGAAGAAACCAAGTTTAAAAATTCTTAGTGGCATCAGACAAAATAAGTAATATAAAAAGACTTCATAAGAGACACTAGATTTCTAAAATGACATTGCTGGCCTTTTGAAAATTCTTTCACTTTTGCACAGTAGCCATGTATGCTGTGAAATATAGGTTACTTTACACTTGATCTTAGCCAAAAGGCCGAGAAGCGATGAAATATACATTACTTTAAATTAAAATAATTTGGGCTAAAAAAAATTCAGTATTGTACTTTCCTTTGAGAAAATAGAGATGACATCATATTGGATCTTTTTTTTTTTTTGAAATGGAATCTCACTCTGTTGCCCAGGCTGGATTGCAGTGGCATGATCTCAGCTCAGTGCAACCTCCGCCTCCCAGGTTCAAGAGATTCTCCTGCCTCAGCCTCCCTAGTAGCTGGGATTACAGGTGCGCGCCATGATGCCCAAATAATTTTTGTATTTTTAGTAGAGATAGGGTTTCGCTGTGTTGGCCAGACTGGTCACAAATTCCTGACCTCAAGTTATCCGCCCACCTCGGCTTACCAAAGTGCTAGGATTACAGGTGTGAGCCGCCACACCCGGGCAATATTGGGTCTTACATAAATAGATTTTCAGGCTAAATATCACTCACTCTGTTAGCCAGTTGGCATATAATGAATAAGATACGGTTCTTTCTCTGGTAGGATTTGGTCTTATAGGCGGAGTTAGATGTGTGTAGTTAAAGGAAAAGTGGCAAGCTTAGGGGCAGTAGATAACTAGACAAGGCAAATATAGCTATGGTCTCAGGAAGAGAGTGACAAATGTGCAATAATATGGAATAGGCTGTTAGAGAATATTGGTAAGGATAGAGAACATTTCTTCAGGTCCCTATGAAACCTCCCTTATGTAGTTAAAGAATAAATGAAGTAGGCTACTTAGCAACAGCAAGATCTTTGCAAAGAAATAGTTGTGATAAGTGGTAGAAAAACTATTAAGTAAGAACTGACTAGATGGAGAGGAAAGTGCACTTTTGGGAAATGAAAGAGAATTTTAAGTGCTAGTTTTCTTCTCTTTTGGTTGCTAGAATTTACTCTCTGCGTGAACCCCAGACACCCACTAAGGTGATTATACTTTCAGAAGCCGAAGAGGAAAGTCTAGTACTTAATAAAGGGTAAGTTTTTATTTGAGTCATGAAATGTTTTTTTAAATTAGTTTATTGGGATTATAAATGCAGTTTTAACAGATTGCAAGGTTTTTCAGAGGTGGCTAGCCTGCTTTTGGTAACGTGAGAAGTGTATTTTTAGTAGTAACAGGGTTTCGTGGTGTTGACCAGGCTAGTCTAGAACTCCTGGGCCCAAGTTATCTGCCCATCTCAGCCACCCAAAGTGCTGGAATTACAGGCCTAAGCCACCATTCACTTCTGTATCATCTGTGTGATAAAGAAACTAAGATAATATCTTGCACTGATGTTTACTCTCTCTACTATATGAAATTGTGATTTCATTTTAACCGTATTTGTTAGCCTTGTATTGAACTAGAATCTTCCTGAAAAACTAATTACACTAAATTTAAAAATTATAAAAACAGCATGGTTTTATGATTTGTCTTCTTGATATACATGTAATGTATATTTGCTATAGAAAATTGAGAAAAATAAAGTATTAAGAAAATGAAAATCTTTTTGTAATCTCCTATAGCCTGTCTCAATACAGCAGCCAAAGTGATCCTTTCAGTTTAATCAGATCATTCTACTTCCCTGCTCTCCACACCCCATTGATTTCCTAGAGTCCTGACCTATAAAGGGCCAACAGGTATGCCACCTGATTGCCTTTCCAGCTTGATTCCTCCCATGTGCCCTGTCTCTCTGAGCTCTGGCAACCTTGGCCTCCTTGCCATTCCACAGACATCAAACATCTTCTACCTTAGAGCCTTTGCTCTTCACCTCAACTGCTCCTTCCTTAGTGAACCACAGACTTACTTTCTTACTTCCTTCGGATCTTTGCTCAAATATCTTATCAGAGTCTTTCTCATACCAACTAAAGTAGCACCTCCATCAATATCCTCTTACCCTACTTTGTAATATTTTCTGAGTTTATATTTCATCTTTATTTCTTCTCTTTTTGTGGTATGTCTCTTTCTAGAGGGCAGGGCATTTGTTTAATTCACTGATATATTCCCAGACCCTAGAAAAGTGTGTGGCACAGAGTAGGTGCTTTGTATGTATTGGTAGAACTTAAAGATCCTGCTGCTCAGAGACAACTGTTGACGTTTTCATGTGTTTTCCTGTTTCCTTTTTGCAGTTATGTGTGTATATGTGTTTAAACTATTTAAGATGAGAGTAGCACCAAATAATTTTATGGCCAGCTTTTTTCACTTAATTTCATGAGAATTTTTAAATGTTAACATTCTTCATAATCATTTTTTGTCTTTTCAGTCCATTAATTACAAATTCCATACATACCCACCTCCTATTAGACATTTTGTTTTTTTGGTTTTTTTTTTCTTTTTACTTTTTGTTGTTTTTGTTTTTAACAAGTTGGTTTTTACATCTCTTTCCAGAAGAGCATATACCGCATCTCTAGGCGAGACAGCAGTTGCATTTGACTTTGGGCCATTGGCAGCAGTCCCAAGGAATATATTTGGACAAAAAGGCAAAGATGAAGTAGTGGCATACCCACTGTACATCTTATATGAGAATGGAGAGACTTTTCTAACATATGTTAGTCTGTTACACAGGTAAGTTGAGGTGGTAACCCACCTGAAATGAAAACTCAGCTTGTGCTCCAGTAGAGATTGTTGACATTGGACTTGGGAGCCATGTTTTTGGGTTTGGAAGTGTTGCAGCCTTCAGATGGCTTGGCTTGCATATTTTTGAGAAAGTGTTAGTACAGATCATTTTGCCTTTCATTTCTTCATATTATTTGGGTAAGTTCTATAGAATTCTTGGATAATCACTTATGATGGGCCTGGATTTGTGTTCACAAATTCTGGTTATCTGAACAAGTGCTTATTGTTTATCTTATATGAACAAGGCACCATGGGGATGGTTATACATGGCATTCTTTATCTTATGCCCCAGTTGTGGGGAGGAAGACGTATACACATATGAAAAAATACTTATCCATACCACATTATTGGTACACAGACAGTAAGAACCCAGAGGAAAAAGAGATCATTCTGACTAGGAGGTTAAGGAAATTTTCACAGAGAAGTAGTGAGGTCATGCATGCCTTAAAGGTCTCATTCAGGATTAGATGAAGTATCAAGGAAGGGTAAGACCATTTCTATCAAGGGCAGTATAAAGTAAAGTATGTAAATAAGCAAGTGTCATTCAAGGTTGAGTTGTTAGACATTCTGGGCTAGAGCTGAGGATTCATGTAGGGAGCATTAAATGATAAAGCTAGAAGTATCTGCCCAGAGAAAATTTGCTGGCATTAAAAACACCTTGATAAAGAGTGAGTGTGGATTTTTTTTTTTTTTCTGTAGGAATAGGGTAGTAGGAAGCCGTGATGGTGTCTGAGCAGAAGGACAAAACAGTTGGTTAGGGAAGGGACTGGGACAGAGAGACTTTTAAAGAAGTTTTGCAAAATTGAGCTTATAGTTTATAAAACTTGGGTGGTAGTAGTACGGAGGTAAATGAAATGTAGTTAACAACAAAGGAGGGATAAATAAGACTTAGTTACTATTTGGATAAGGAGTATTCCATGAACAGAAACAGGTCAGTAAAGGCAGCTAATTGGGGGAGAAGATTTATTTTTAAATAAATCAGTATAACATAGTATTGGCCCAATAAAATGGAAATACTCCATGGACAGTTGGAAATACAGGATGATGAGAGACAATGAATTAAAATGGAGGCATGAGAATCATCCGTCATGGTGAGAGAGTCTACAGGTTAAGAATTTGGCAGAAAACTACAGAGGCATAAGGCTAAGGGCTGAGCATTAGAGTTTATTTGCTTATAAATCTACTTAATAGTACTTATTCAGGGCCCCACTATGTGGCAGAAGATGGAAATACAAGATTGAAGGCAAGGTTCCTGCTGTGTGGTTTCTTACCTACCAGAAGGGCATACAACTAAACCAATAACTGTAGTACAGTGTCATGTGTGCAGGGCATCACAAGGTTCTACAAGAGTGTGATAGAGTAAATGAGTAAGCCTGCTGATCTTGGAAGACTTTGAGGAAATGCTATTACAAAAGCTTGGACTTGAAGGATTCACTAGACAAAATCGGAAATGGTTATAGGAGAGAGAAGAGAATATTCAAAAACTATAAAGATTAGAAAGATGAAAGAGCTCAACAGGTTACAGAATGGTAAGGATTCACTGTTGAGTACATTCTCATTGACAGAAATGTTCTCTGCCTTTCACATACGATCTCTCTCAGGAGGATTTTGTGTTAACATTAATACCTTCCCTTACCCTTTCTCCTCTTACTGCTGAGCCCTCATTTGTCCAAACCATGACCTACCTAGTACCTTAGCCCAAAACCCAGAAGTTATCATTTTTTTTTTTTTTTTTTTTGAGACAGAGTCTTGCACTTTTACCTGGGCTGCAGTGCAATGGCGCGATCTCAGCTCACTGCAACCTCCACCTCCTGGGCTCAAGTGATTCTCCAGTAGCTGGGATTACAGGTGCCTACTACCATGCCCAGCTAATTTTTTGTATCTTTAGTAGAGATGGGGTTTCACTATTTTGGCCAGGCTGGTCTTGAACTCGTGACTTCGTGATCCACGTGCCTCAGCCTACCAGAGTGCTGGGATTACAGGTGCAAGCTTCATCCTTACATTCTATCAGTCCCGAATTTCTATTGATTTTGTGATTAAAATTTTGGGGAGGTATATACCACACTTGTCCAACCCACAGGCTGCATGCAGCCCAGGATGGCTTGATTTGTAAAACTTTCTTAAAACATTATGAGATTTGTTTGCAATTTTCTTTCTCCCCCCCCCCCTTTTTATAAGCTCATCACCTGTTGTTAGTGTATTTTATGTGTGGCTCAAGACAATTCTTCCAGTGTGGCCCAGGGAAGCCAAAAGATTGGACACCCTGATTATATACACCCTTATCTTCATTCCTTTGTCCCTGCTTCAGAACTTTATCATCTGCCTAGGTTATTAAATAGTTTCCATGAATCCCATTTTGGACCCTTCTGTGTCTTCCTAATACCAGATTGATTTATAAAGTGAAGTTCCATCACTTGATTTAAACCCGACATACTGTACCCAGCAGATAGATTTCAAATAGTTTAACATAGCATGCAAGTCTGTGTACTTCATAAGCCAGTCCTGAATGTCTGTCTAGCCATTTTGCCATTGCCTTAGACCTTGTACTTTGCCTCCCATCATACTAAGTAAGTTTCCTTCTTAGTTCCCTTGTCTTTCATGCTTCCAGGACTTTGCATAAACTGCTCTCTAGCTTGGAATGCTCAACGACCCCCTTCCCAGAAATCATTCTTTCTCTGTTTTTCTTATTTTTGATAGCTTTCTTCACTATCTTTGTATCTTTTTGTCATTTTTTTGTACACCATAAATCCTTCTGTTGTTGCACTTATCACATCGTATAGTAATTCTGGTTAAATGTCTGCCTCATCAACTAAACCATCATTCACTGGGAGCATCATCTAGCTCTCAATTATAAGTATTTGTCTAATCAAATTTAATATGGGGCCCAAAGCCCTGAAGAGAAGTTACATCTCAGAAGAAAGGATTTGGTAGTCTGGGAATATAGATGGTAGTTAAAACCAGGCATAGTTTAATAGGCTCTCATTTATGCGTTTATTTTGAAAAAAGTCAAAACAGAACTCTGGAGAACACCAATATTTAAGAGACAGAAATTAGAACAGGACATTAGAAAAGTATGTTTAAAGAAGTAGGAAGAGAGAACTGTAAGAAAGAACTGCTAGAGTTGTTAAGGGTATTGAGTAGCAGTAATTGTTAACCAGTGATAAATGCAGCAGAAGGTTAAGTGCCTTTTGGATTTAGTAAATCTCACAGGTGGCCTTTGCCACAGTAGCTTCAGTGGAGTGGCGAAAAGCATAAACCATAGTACATTTAGGACAAGGGTTTTCAACGTCTGTTCTATTGACATTTTGGTCTGAATTACTGTTTGTTTTAGAGGTGCTGTGGGGGAATGTTTAGGAGTCTCTAGCCTCTAACCACTAGATGCCAATACCTCCCCCCACGTTGTGACATCCAGTTGTGACACCCAGTTGTGACAAGCCAAAATGTCTTCAGACGTTGCCAGTGTCCTCTCTGGCAAAATTATCTCTGGTTGAGAAACACCAGAATGGTAGAATCTGAGTGGGAAAGCAAGAAGATGGAGTGTTGGGAGTATACTACATTTATAATGAGGGTTGATAGCTAGAGGAAAACAAAGTCAAAGAATGGCTTTAAGAGATGAGCATGGTTGTTGTCAACATTTCCCAAATATGTTTTCACTCCTTCTTTAGCCCTGGAAATATTGGAAAGCTGTTGGGTCCGTTGCCCATGCATCCTGCGGCTGAAGATAACTATGGTTATGATGCTTGTGCTATACTCTGCCTACCTTGTGTCCCCAATATCTTAGTGATTGCTACTGAATCAGGAATGCTGTATCACTGTGTTGTGCTGGAAGGGGAAGAAGAAGATGACCAAACAGTAAGTGCAGGCTACTGTGGATATGTTTTGTATCTTCAGCACCTAGTATGGTTTCTGACCCAATATGAATGCTTAATATATGAGGAGGAATTTTAGCTTATATATGGAACTTCTGATATTTTGGAAATTAAACAGTTAAAAAAAGTAGCTGAAGCATACTTAACAATCTAAGTGAAAAGAACTTAGAAGGTTGCCCAACTTACTTGGTCCACCAGTCTGCATGTTACTTTCTGATCTCCATATTGCAGTCTTCAGGACAGATACAAAGAAAGAGCCTTGGAATCACTGAATTGGCTTTTTTCACAAACATCTTCCTAAAGGAAGAGAGATGTTTTCTCTTCAGAATAACAGTGCTGTTGGGATAGAAGTGGAATTAAGAATTTGAAAGCAATGTTTAACCTCCCCCCACCTTTTTTTTTTTGTTTTTATTTTTTGAGATGGAGTTTTGCTCCTGTTGCCTAGGCTGGAGTGCAGTGGCACGATCTCAGATCACTGCAGCCTCTGTCTCCCAGGTTCAAGCAATTCTCCTGCCTTAGCCTCCTGAGTAGCTGGGATTACAGGCATCCACCACCACTGGGCCCAGCTAATTTTTTATATTTTTAAGAGAGACAGGGTTTCACTGTGTTGGCCAGGTGGGTCTTGAATTCCTGAACTCAGATGATCCACCTGCCTCAGCCTCCCAAAGTGCTAGGATTTCAGGCATGAGCCACCGCAGCTGGCCCTGACCCAGGTTTTTGCTTCTATTTTTAATTGTGTACATTTTCAAATTAACATGCAAGATCAAAATTACCACACTTTTTTTACAGTCAGAAAAGTCCTGGGATTCCAGGATTGACCTCACTCCTTCTCTGTATGTGTTTGAATGTGTTGAGCTGGAGCTTGCTCTGAAACTGGCATCTGGAGAGGATGATCCTTTTGATTCTGACTTTTCTTGTCCAATCAAACTTCACAGAGGTAAGCCTTCTTCCCATGATTTTTATACTAAGACTATCATAGACTATTCCTGTGTAATTTATTTGTTCTGTGGTTCCAGCCTTTAAAAAGTTGACTGGGTTTTTTTCTGGGTTTTTTTTTTGTTTGTTTGTTTGTTTTTTGCCTTTTAGTCACTACAATACACTTTCTATCTAAGGCAGACTGAGCAAATTTCCCAAGTTTTAAAATAGTGTTCTTTGGTCCAGATCCATCCAGGTTCCTAATAGAGAACTTTTTCTGGTCCTATCAAAAATAGAACTACCATATTAGCAGTTCCACCACTGGGTATGTCAAAAGGAAAGGAAATAATAGGTTGAAGGATACCTGTACTCCCATGCCATTGCAGTGTTATTCACAATAGCTAAGATACTGAATCAACCCAAGTGTCCATCAACAAACCAAATGGATTTTTTTTTTTTTTTTTTGGAGATGGTGTCTGGCTCTGTCACCCAGGCAGGAGTTTAGTGGCACAATCTCAACTCACTGCAACCTCCACCTCCCAGGTTCAAGTGATTATTTTGCCTCAGCCTCCCAAGTAGCTGAGATTACAGGTACTCACCACCACGCCCAGCTAATTTTTGTATTTTTAGCAGAGGTAGAGTTTTACCATGTTGGCCAGGCTCGGTCTCAAACTCCTGACCTCAAGGAGTCCACCTGCCTCGGCCTTCCAAAGTGCTGGGATAACAGATGTGAGCCACCACACCTGGCCCCAAATGGATTTTTTTAAATGTGGTATATATACACGATGGAATACCATTCAGCTTTTTTTTTTTTTTTTTTTTTCCTCATGGTACACTGTGTCACCTAGGCTGGAGTACAGTGGTGTGATCTCAGTTCACTGTAACCTTTGCCTGTCAGGCTCAAGTGATCCTCTTTCCTCAGCCTCTGGAGTAGCTAGGGCTACAGATGTGCACCACCACACTTAATTTTTGTATTTTTTGTAGACACAGGGTTTTGCCATGTTGAACAAGCTGGTACCAAACTCCTGAGCTCAAGTGATCCTCCTACCTCGTCCTCTCAAAGTGCTGGTCCACAGGTGTGAACCACCATGCCTAGCCCCATTTGGCTTTAAAAAAGAATGAAATCCATTCATTCACCACAACAATAGTTGAAGCTATTGTTACCAAAACTAGGCAAACTGGCTAATAAGGGTTCTTATTAGCCTCAACTCTGTACTAAAGTATAGCCAAAACATTTAAGGGAGCAGAATTCCTGACATAACAAACCAGCAAAAAGAGTATACTGGGTTTGTATTTTGAGATTTGTATTAAGTCTAAGAATTTTATAGATGAGGAAACAGACCAAATGAAGTAAAGTGACATAAACTAATTGGTTTCCTCATATGGATACATATATCTTTGGGAAATCTTAAGTGTAGACATCGATCTCAGCTCACTGCAACCTCCGCCTCCCAGGTTCAAGCAATTCCTCTGACTCAGCCTCCCAAGTACCTGGGATTACAGGCATGCATCATGACGCCTGGCTAATTTTTGTATTTTTAGTACAGGTGGGGTTTCACCATGTTGGTCAGTCTGGTCTCGAACTCCTGATCTGTCCGCCTTGGCTTCCCACGGTGCTGGGATTTGAGGCGTGAGCCACCGTGCCCAGCTTTTTCTTGGTTCTTCTAACAAGAGTAACATTTTCATATGTGAAACTAAGAAAGTTTTAGCTTCCTCATAATTGTGCTGAACAAGTCATATTATCACTGAGGCACACCAGATTTGGTAGTGACAAAGTGAAATGGCTACAGTGTAACAGAGTGGTGTCTAACAAATTTCCTGTTAACTAAATGCTGACTGTTTAGTAATTTGTTTTACACCCCAAAATTGATTTTTCTGTTGATGTCAGCACTACAGATTTTGAAAAGTCATTTTAACAATGTTAGATTTAATGAGATGATTTGAGCCTTAAGTCTTAGATATGAGTAAATGAAAAGAAAATTTTCAGTATTTTAATTACTCAAATGGATTGTTCCCATAGACGAGGGGTTTTAAAACTTTTTATAGCAGAATGCTGTTTTCTAAGATGTTTTATGAAACCTCAGTATATAAGACAGAAAAATAATATATTAGCTTTAGAACATTAATTTATGATAATGTCTCTAATAACAAAGACTGTTAGATAAAAGGAAAATTTAATTTAGGGGTTTTATGGGTAACTGTTGCCGTTTTATCAGCTTTAATATATACCTTATCTCTGTATTTTGTTTTAGTTTACTAACATTAATGTTAGTAATAAAAATCCTGAGTTACAGAGATAAATATGTTGACATAAAATAGGTATTCAGTAGCTTATCTTTTAGTCTGAGGATTGTCTTACTGATACTAGGGCTTAAGGAACAGAAATTTTTGTTTCAAAACCAGTTAATTAAAATTGTATAACTGGCCGGGCGTGGTGGCTCATGCCTGTAATCTCAGCACTTTGGGAGGCCAAGGCAGGCAGATCACCTGAGGTCAGGAGTTCAAGACCAGCCTGGCCAAAATGGTGAAACCCTATCTTAAAAAAAAAAAAAAATTGTATAACTACTACTCATGCTTCTTAGTTATAAATGATTGTCAAACAAAAAGAGCATACAAAACTTGAAAAATAACCTTTAAAACTATCGTAAGTCAACATTATGAAGACATATAAAACTTCACTTCCCATTTCACACCTTACTACACTGTGATAGAACTATTCCCTGAGCCATTGTGCTTAAGTCTTTTGTAATACCTGTGTTGTAGGAGCGCGTGTGCTTCAACAATTTTATTTAAGTCGATGTGTGCAAGCATAGGTTTTCTACAGAGCTGCTATTTTAACCATCATTTTCTTTTGAATAACTAAATAAATGCACAGAGAAAAAGCATAAATGAGTTACTTGACATATTTATATTTTGGTGAACCTCATTGTGTTCATATTTAGAAAGTAACTTTTGGATTGCGTTTTTTATACTTTAAAATACGCCATACCTCATTTTATCATTTTATTGTGGTTCACAGATAGTGAGGTGTTTTTTTTTTTTTTTTTTTAACAAATTAAAGGTGTGGCAGCCCTACATCAAGTGAGTCTGTCAGCACCATTTTTCAAACAACATGTGCTCACTGTGTCTCTATGTCGGCATTTTTTAGCAATAAAAAATTGTTAAGGTTTGTACATATTTTTTGACATAATGTTATTGCATACCTACTAGTATAAACATAACTTTCTGCATAGTGTAAACATAACTTTCATATGTACTGAGAAACCAAGAGATTTGTGTGACTCACTTTCTGTATTCACTTTATTGCAATGATCTGGAACAAAACCCACAGTATCTCTGAAGTATACCCGTACTTAAAATCTATTTGAAATTTGAATTCAAATTTTAACATTTCAAAACCCCTAACAATATGAAAGTCCTATAACACTTTCCATCAACAAATGTGTTTGTAAGCTGTTATGGGGTAGCCAACAAATTTGAGGTAAATTCTTTTAGATATCTAATGGCTGCCTTTTACATCATTAATCATTCCATTTGCAGATCCCAAGTGTCCTTCAAGATATCACTGTACTCATGAAGCTGGTGTACATAGTGTTGGTCTAACCTGGATTCATAAACTTCACAAATTTCTTGGATCAGGTGAGTTTACTAACTTTCTGTACTTTTAATAGAATTCAGAGGAAAACAGATTTAATAGATTTCAGAAAAGTATTTTGGAATGGAAAAACAATAGAGAAAATCAGTGAAACCAGAAGGTTCTTTGAAAAGATCAACCACATTTGACAAGCCTTTAGCTAGACTGGCTGTAATCAGGAATAAAAGCGGGGATGTTACTACTGACCTTACAGAAATAAAAGATTTTAAGTGAATACTATGAACAAATGTTTGCCATTTAGATAATCTAGATGGAATGGACAAATTCCAAGAAAAAACCCAAACTACCAAAATTGAGTTCAGGGTCTGGGAGAATGTGCTTTAAAAAAAATAGAAACTAGGCCAGGCACGGTGGCTCATGCCATTTTGGGAGGCCAAGGCAGGCGGACCATCTGAGGTTGGGAGTTCGAGAACAGTGTGGCCATCATGGTGAAATCCCATCTCTACTGGAAATACAAAAATTAGCCAGGTGTGGTAGCATGTGCCTATAATCCCAGCTACTCCGAAAGCTGGGGCAGGAGAATTGCTTAAACCCAGGAGGCAGAGGTTGTAGTGAGCCGAGATTGTGCCACTGTACTCCAGCCAGCCTGGGTGACAGAGCGAGACTCCATCTAAAAAAAAAAAAAAAAAACTGATTCAGAGAGATTGATTAGTAATCAAAATTATCCAAAAAGAAAAGCCAAGGACCATATGATTCACATTTAAAGAATTAATACTGGCTGGGCACAGTGGTTTACACCTGTAATCCCAGCACTTTGGAGGCCAAGGCAGACAGATCACTTGAGGTTGGGTGTTCAAGACCAACCTGACCAAAATGGTGAAACCCTGTCTCTACTAAAAAAAAATTAGCCAGGTGTGGTGGCTTATTGGCTGTAATCCCAGCTACTCAGGAGGTTGAGACAGGAGAATCGCTTGAACCTGGGAGGTAGAGACTGTAGTGAGCCGAGATTGTGCCACTGCACTCCAGCCTGGGTGAGAGAGTGAGACTCCGTCTCAAAAAAAAAAAAAAAAAAGTAATAAAAAAAATTTTTTTTTAAATTATTACCAATTCTTCACAGAGCGAGAGGAGTCTCAAAAACAATAAAATATCGCAGCCTTTCATGTTAAAAATAACAAACTAGGCCGGGCGCGGTGGCTCAAGCCTGTAATCCCATCACTTTGGGAGGCCGAGGCGGGTGGATCACGAGGTCAAGAGATCGAGACCATCCTGGTCAACATGGTGAAACCTCGTCTCTACTAAAAATGCAAAAAATTAGCTGGGCATGGTGGGGTGTGCCTGTAATCCCAGCTACTCAGGAGGCTGAGGCAGGAGAATTGCCTGAACCCAGGAGGCGGAGGTTGCGGTGAGCCGAGATCGCGCCATTGCACTCCAGCCTGGGTAACATGAGTGAAACTCCGTCTCAAAAAAAAAAAAAAAAAAGGTAGTAATTTAAGAAAGGAACTTCCTCAAACTGAGGAAACTTTATCTATGAAAAACTTGCAACCAACACAATGCTTAATGGTAAAAAGACTGAATCCTTTCTGTATTGGCTTCCTACTATTACTGTAGTAGATCATCACAAATTTAGTGGCTTAAAACATTACAAACTTACTATCTTTCAGTTTTGTAGGTTAGAAGTTCTACATGGGTCTCCCTGGGCTTTAGTTGACAGAGCAGTTTTCCTTTCTGGAGGCTCTAGGGTAGAATGCATTTCCTACCCTTTTTCAGCTCCTACCACATTCCTTGGCTTGTAGTTGTCCTCTGTCTTCAAAGCCAGCCAGCAACAGTGGGATGGGTTGAGTCCTTCTCATGTTTCACCTTGCCTGTTTCACTTTTCTAAAACCTTGTAACATTGAGTCTGCCCAGATAAACCAAGATAATGTCCCTATTTAAAAAAAAATAAATCTTTTAAGAGACAGAGGGTCTCACTCTATTGTCTGGGCAGGAGTGCCGTAGTGCAGTCATAGCTTACAGTAGTCTTGAACTCCTGGGCTCAAGCAATCCTCCTGCCACAGCCCCTAAAGTATCTGGGACTACAGGCGTGAGCCACCATGCCCAGCTAATTTTTGAGTTTTTTGTAGAGATGGGCTTTTACCATGTTGCCCAGGCTGGTCTCGAACTCCTGGGCTCAAGTGATCCACCCGCCTCAGCCTCCCAAAGAACCCTTAGCATTCGATACATACAGTAGGGCAAACAGTATGTATATAAAAACATGTCCAACATCATTAGTCATTACGGAAATAAAACACCACAAAACCACAATGAGGTATCACATCACATCCACTAGTATAGCTGAAATGCAAAAGATGGACATTAACAAGTCCATCTTTTGAGGATATGGAAAAATGGGGGCTCTTATACAGTGCTTATCGAAATGTAAAATGGTACAGTCATTTTGGAAAACAGTCTGGCAGTTCCTCAAATGATTACTCATAGTTACCATATACCTAATAGTTCCAGTCCTGAGTATATTTCCAAGAGAAATAAAGACCTATATCCACACAAATATTGGTACATGAATGTTCATAGCAACATTATTCATCATAGCCCAAAAGCCACATACCCAAGTGTCCATAAGCTGATGAATGCATAAAATGTATGTCTATACAACAGAATATTAGTAAACAATAAAAGGGAATGAAGTACTGATACATGCTACAATATACATGAACCACGAACAGATGCTAAGTGAAAGAAGCCAGTGACAACTGTATGGCTGTTTATATCAGATGTCCAGAATAGACAAATCTACAGAGACAGAAAGTAGATTAGTTGCCTAGGTCTGGGAAGTTTGGTGGAAACTGAGGAAAGATACTAATGGTTATGTGGGTTTCTTTTTGGGAAATGAAAATATTCCAAGTTGTTATGATAAGTATACAATTCTTATACTAAAAACTTACTGAATTGTATATTTTAATGGGTATACTTTAAAATGGATGACTTGTATGGTACTGTGAATTACGTTTCAAAAAGCTGTTATAGGCCAGGGGCAGTGGCTCATGCCTGTAGTCCCAGCACTTTGGGATGCCGAGGCAGGCAGATTACCTGAGTTCAGGAGTTTGAGACCAGCCTGTCCAACATGGTGAAACCCTGTCTCTATTGAAAATACAAAAATTATCCAGGTGTGGTGGCTTGCGCATGTAGTCCCAGGTCTCAGGAGGCTGAGCCAGGAGAATCACTTGAACCCAGAAGGTACAGGTTGCACTGAGCAGAGCTCGGGCCACTATACTCCATCCTGGGCAACAGAGAGAGACTCCATCTCCAAAAAAAAAGCTGTTACAGATTGAGTATCCCTACTCTGAAAATTTGAAATACAAAATGTTACAAAACTGGTTTTTTTCATCCTTGAACTTGACTGAGCTGCAAAAATTTCTAAGGGCTGTCAGGACACTCAACAGAAATGCTCATTGGCACATTTAGGATTTTAGATTTTCAGATAAGAGATGTTCAACTACTATATAATGCACATATTCCAAATTCCAAAAAAAATATGAAATCTGAAACACTTCTGATCCCAGGCATTTTAGATAAAGAGTACTCAACCTGTATGAAAATAAAATCGGTGTAGGTAAGAAACAGCCTAGAAGAGAATGATTTCTGGGACTGTTCTTAGTGAAACATTTTTGCATTTAGAGACATTACCAAGGAAAATCCTGCGTTTCTTCTTGGGGCAGAAATCTAGACCCCCTGGGAAAAAGGGTATGCCTATGTCAGAAAAGCATAGTACTTGAGAAGCAGTGTTTTCAGACAGGAACCTCATCGCATTTAACCCAGTTATCATTAGCATTTTAATTCAGAGACTTGTCTAAGCACCAGTTAATGTATATAATGTCTTCCATTGTAGATGAAGAAGATAAGGATAGTTTACAGGAACTCTCTATGGAACAGAAATGCTTTGTTGAGCACATCCTTTGTACAAAGCCATTGCCATGCAGGTAAGGACTTTCCCTACCTTTTACACACAGAAAACAATTGTTCATTTCAGTAATTCAGATACATATGTATACATTACACTCAAATCCACAGCATTCATTGCTGAATCACTTGAAAGTAAGTTGCAGACATGATACTTCTCCCCTAAGAGTATCCTGCTCATCAGAAGCTTTGTCCTGCCCCATGATCACTCCACATATTGTTTCCTGTCTGGAAGGTATTTCCCCAACCTCAGCCCCAGCTTGCTGTCTTCTCTTGACTCTTACTCTTGTTTCTGATCTTAATGTCACTACTTCACGGAGAACACTGTTGACTCCCCAATCTAACTTAGCGTTCTCCTATTCTCTTTTCCTTTGTAGCACATATTATACCATTTATATTTGCATTTGTTTAATGTCTGTCACCACTACTGGAATGTATATGTTCCATGAGAGCAGAGACTATGTGTGCCCTTCACTGCACTGCTGGGTTTATTTGATGCGTTTGCCCATGTCTCCTCTTTGAAATACACGCTCCTTGGCATCCTTGACATCTGTCCCCCCAGGTTCTCCTTCAGTCCCTCCAGCGGCCCTTTTCTCAAGTTTTCTTCTTGGGGTGGTTCCTCTCTCTCTACTCATTGCTTATAAGTGTTGCTCACCACTCTTTCCTTGGGTCTTTTCAGTTCTTTCTAGGTCCTTTCCTGAGTAACTTCTGCCATAATCATGTCTTCAGTGCAGACAGTTCCCACATCCATATCATCCTAGCCCAGACCACTCTGAACTCCAGATCCACATATCCAGCTGCCTATTGGGCTCCTCCACTCGGATATCCTATAGGAACATAAAACTCCAGATGTCCCCTTAACTAGTCTTCTGTCTTCCTAAAGCTACTCTCCTATGTCCCATTTTTCTGAAGGGTGCCATATCGACCCACTTATCCCCAGTAGAAACCTGGAAGGTATCCTAGATACCTCTCTTTATTCTGTTCATCAGTTACTGGATATCCACTAAGCACTCTGTTAGACATTGAGTATACACAGACATGAGGCAAATAGCATCCAGTAAGAAATAGACATAGTCTAGGCTTGGCAATATAGAGGACCACAGAGAAAACACTTGGTGGGCAGGGGAAGGATAGCAAACTGTACAAGGTTAAAAAGTGAACAGAGAAAATACATAATAAAATCCCATGTAGGCTGTGCATGGTAACTCACACCTGTAATCCCAGCACTTTGGGGGGGCTGAGGCAGGAGGATCACTTGAGGCTAGGAGTTTGAGACCATCTTGGGCAACATAGCGAGACCCTTTCTCTACAAAAAAATTTTAAAAATTAGCCGGGTGAGGTCAAGCACTGTGGCTCACGCCTTAATCCCAGCACTTTGGGAGGCTGAGGCGGGCTGATCACGAGATCAAGAGATCGAGATCATTCTGGCCAACATGGTGACACCCTGTCTCTACTAAAAATACAAAAAATTAGCTGGGCATGATGGTGCACACCTGTAGTACCAGCTGCTCGGGAGGCTGACACAGGAGAATTGCTTGAACCCAGGAGGCAGAGGTTGCAGTGAGCTGAGATCGCACCACTGCACTCCAGCCTGGCCACAGAGCAAGATTGCATCTCAAAAACAAAAAAACAAAAAACAAAATTAGCCAGGTGTGGTAGCATGTACCTGTGCTCCCAGGTATTCAGCAGGCTGAGGTGGAAGGACTGCTTGAGCCTACAAGGTCAAGGCTGCAGTGAGTCGTGATCATGCCACTGCACTCCAGTCTGGGCAACAGAGTGACACCCTGTCTCAAAAACCCCAAATCCCATTTGTGTCAATTTCAGAAACAGGTAAAATTAAACAGTCTTGCCTAGGAATGAATACATAGATAGGAAAACTGTAAAGCAAAGACACGATATTCTGAATGTCAGAGTAGTGGTTTCTTCTCCGGGGAGTTAATGGCTATGACCAGGGAGGGTCACATGGGAACTCTGAGCCCCCCTGAAGTGTCCTGATTTTTGACCTGGTTACTGGTTACATAGTCTATAGCCCAGTGGTGTGTAGATTTCACACTGATAATAAAAAGTAAAAGTTTATAACCTTCCAGATACCGTCTCCATGTCTCCTCCAAAAAAGTAAATGGGAGCTAGGGAAAGGGAACTAGTGTCGACTGCTGTTGAAAGACTGCTGGTTCTGGCCCAGCATGGTAGCTCACCCCTCCCAGCACTTTGGGAGGCTGAGATGGGTGGATCATGAGGTCAGGAGTTCAAGATCGGCCTGGCCAAGATGGTGAAACCCCGTCTCTACCAAAAACACGAAAATCAGCCAGGCATGGTGTCAGCCACCTGTAATCCCAGCTAGTTGGGAGGCTGAGGCAGGAGAATTGCTTGAACCTGGGAGGCGGAGGTTGTAGTGAGCTGAGTGCCCCTGCACTCCAGCCTGGGCAACAGAGCAAGACACTGTCTCTAAAAAAGAAAAAAAAAATATGCTGGTCCTAATGGGACAGAGAAAGAATAGGTTAAGGGAAACCCGACATTATATCAGGGAGTGTTTTAAATGGAAGGGACGTGAGTTTATAAGCTGAGGGAAAGTAGGTAATAGGGTGATTTTGAAACGACACAGTTGATGGTGCAATCTTCAGAAGGTGTGAGAGGAGGTGGCATCAGCATTCAGGGGCAGTTGTGTGTTGGCGTGCAGGTGGGATGGGCATGGGAGCTGCTAGGAGAGCATGTTGGCAGAACGACAGTTCCCATCTGAGGGCCACAGTTTCCAGTGTCTTCACTGAAGTTGGAAGGAAGATTGAGATGCATGCTGTGCATGCTAAATAATTTCCTGTGACGCAGATGTTGAGCCTCACCGAGAGAAACTCGGAAGTTGTGTTCATTCAGCAGTTTCTAAGCACTTAATTTGTTAGACACTGGGCTAGTCAAACAAAGATAGCTGGGGTTTATGTGCAAGTTGGAGAAATAGACATGTAACCAACGATCGTCAGTGTAACGTAACTTTCAAGATTACAGTGAGCACCACTGTACAGTTAGAGATTCCTGAGTGACTTAGTCACATGGGCAGTAGACTTAAGTGTAGGGCTGTATGAAAGGTTTTCAAGCCACCACTTTTGAGGTTACGGTACTGATAGGATGTCCCAGCCCTGAGAAGGGCATGGACCTGTCTTATCTTTGCTCTTGGTTCCATTGCATTTGCTGCTTTGTAATTTGACTATGATTTGTGTTTTTCCAGGCAGCCAGCTCCAATTCGAGGATTTTGGATTGTCCCTGACATTCTGGGACCCACGATGATCTGCATCACCAGTACCTATGAATGCCTCATAAGGCCTTTATTGTATGTCCCACTTTATATTCTTCACATAGCTCTTGTTAATTCTGCAATATCTAAGCTGGGAAAATGCACTCAGTGACCAATTTGAAGCTATACATACGTGGTTTATGCTTTGGCTTCTGACCTGAGGGTTGGCAGGATGGACATTTCTGTTGTTCCTCATTTCTGTAAGGTTTCATTTTAGGTATGGTTTCTGGCACCTGCACCTAGCTGAGAGTCAGGAGCTCTTCTTCAGCATGTGGGAAAAAAATACTAAAATTGAATACCAAATTCTGTTATCGATATGAGTAATAATTATCAAGTTCTGACCATCTGTCAAGCTCAGAAGTAAGCCAGGTACCTGCACTGCCTCCTGGAATCATCCAGGCAGCCTTATAAGGAAGGCACTGTTAATTCCATTGTATAAAAGTGGAAACAAGGATTGAGAGGTTAGTAAATGCTCAAGTCACAGGTAACAAATAGAGCTGGGATACAGATGCAGCTCTGATTGACTCAGAGGTCCATATCATACTCTAATGTATCTGTCTCTGACAGCCTGAGGCACATTGTAGAATATGTAAAGTGAAGTAAAGCTGAACTCAGGCCGGGTGCAGTGGTGGTTCACACCTGTAATCCGAATGCTTTGGTAGGCCCAGAGTTTGAGACCAGCCTGGGCAAAATAGTGAGACCCCCACCTCTACAAAAAAAACAAAAAAATTAGCCAGATATGGTGGTGCACACCTGTAGTCCTAGCTACTCAGGAAGAGGATCTGAGAGGATTGCTTAAGCCCAGGAGTTTTAGGCTGCAGTGAGCCATAATCATGCCACTGCACTCCAGCTTGGGGGACACAGCAAGACCCTGTATCTTTTACAAAAAAATAAATAAATAAATAAAAGGCTGGGCTGGGCGCAGTGGCTCACGCCTGTAATCCCACTACTTTGGGAGGCTGAGGCAGGTGGCTCACAAGGTCAGGAGTTTGAGACCAGCCTGGCCAAGATGGTGGAACCCCATCTCTACTAAAAATACAAAAAGTAGCTGAACACAGGCGGGTGCCTGTAATCCCAGCTACTCGGGAGGCTGAGGCAGGAGAGCTGCTTGAACCCAGGAGGCGGAGGTTGCAGTGAGCCGAGATCACGCCACTACACTCTAGCCTGGGTGACAGAGCAAGACTCCATCTCAAAAAAAAAAAAAGAAAAAAAAAAAGCTGAATTCTTAGTCCTTCCTCCTTTAAGAAACTCAGATAATTAAGCTGTAATCACTATATATTCCTTTTCCAACGCCCTGGAAGGTCATTCTGAGTTATATAAATGCAGCAATAGGAGTACCAAAAACAAAAGTCACTGGAACTTCAGACATTAGACACCACTCCAACCCCTTGACTAGTCAAAGCATGTACTTCTAGATGCTGACATAAATGCCAAATACTGGCAATAGTTTACCATACTTAGAAGACCTTCCATACTCTTTGAAGGTTGATAAGTTATACTATTTGGATGTAAAAAGAAAGAGTTTTGTGTTTATACTAAAGGCACTAAAAACTAGCAGGACCAAACAAAAATAATCACTGGAGAAAAAATTGCCTACTTGCCAGTAGTCTCAGCATACTTTCTAAAGACCCCTAGTACATTTAGTAAAATAAAACCTACTCACACTGGGTTACGTCAGAATAAATATGAATCCCAAAGGGGAAAAATAAACATTAATTATCTGAATACTTTTTTTTTTTTTTCCTTGAGACAGAGTCTTGTGCCATTGCCCAGGCTGGAGTGCAGTGGCGTGATCTTGGCTCAAGTATTTCTTCTGCCTCAGCCTCCCTAGTAGCTGGGATTACAGGTGCCCGCCACCATGCCCGGCTAATTTTTGTATTTTTATTAAGGATGAGGTTTTGCCATATTAGGCTGGTCTCGAACTCCTGACCTCAAGATGATCCACCTGTCTCAGGCTCCCAGAGTGCTGGGATTACAGGTGCTTGCCACCACACCCAGCCAATTATCTGGATACTTTCAAATAATAATTTTGCCAACTCCCTGAAATACAAATTGTCTATAAAGTAATGCTATTTAACAAACTTTCACTTTTTTTTTAAATAGACCATTTCACTCTGTCACCCAGGCTGGAGTGCAGTGGTGTGATCTCAGTTCATTACAACTTCTGCCTCCTGGGTTCAAGCAATTCTTATCCCTCAGCCACCCAAGTAGCTGAGATTACAGATGTACGCCACCACACCCAGCTAATTTTTGTATTTTTAATAGAGACGGGGTTTCACCACGTTGGCCAGGCCGGTCTCAAACGCCTGATCTCAAGTGATTCACCTACCTCGGCCTCCCAAAGTGCTGTGATTACAGGCTTGAGCCACCACGCCTGACCAAACTTTCACATTTGAATTGCTGCCTTTAGAGTAAGTTACTTAACATGCTGCCAAAATTTGGGAGATCATTTAAGTTCTTTCTGAAGTGTTTTTGAGTATTTGCACTTGAGTGAATAGTTTTTTAAAATCAAATTATATAGAACCAATATGGTATATACAGCAGTTACCAAGCTTAATATTGGTTTTGGTCAACTCTAAACCTAACAGGTAAGTGATTTATGTTTGTAGCTCTGGCTTATAAACTGGCTCTTAAGTCCTTTGCCAGATGGGTTTATGTTTTTGTGCTGCCTTGATCTTTTAAAAAATGACTGGAAATGGCAATCAGAAATGCCTTGACAGATGGGGGCATTGGAAGAGTAAGGGTGTAGCTTCCCAAAGTGACCTTTTCAAGGTGGAAAACATGCATTCTTGCACTTTTACAAAAGTAACACCTTATTTTTGTATTCTGAAAGTTCTGGATCAGTGTGGTTTCTGCTTTTCTGTAATACAGTAAATCACTCCATGGTAGACTTCAATTTACTTATCTATTTTGCAGAAGTACAGTGCATCCAGCGTCTCCTCCTCTGCTTTGTACTCGAGAAGATGTTGAAGTGGCAGAGTCTCCCCTCCGTATTCTGGCTGAAACCCCAGATTCCTTTGAAAAGCATATTAGAAGCATTTTGCAACGTAATGTTGCCAATCCAGCATTTTTGAAGTATGCAACCTTGGGCATAGCGGTTTTATGAATGGGTTCTCTTCCATCTTCATAATTACTGTGCATCCTTTCTGTCCTCATCTATTTCCTCTACTTTTTACTGTGATGGATTTGGAAGAAACTGGATATATTTAATCAATTAGTGAATGAGGTAGGGGGAAGTGGCACCTGATAATGATATATAGGAAGTGTTTAAAAATAAGTTATGCCAGGTGTGGTGGCTCATACCTGTAATCCCAGCACTTTGGGAGGCCGAGGCAGCCAGATCACCTGAGGTTGAAAGTTCAAGACCAGGCTGGCCAACATGGTGAAACCCTGTCTCTACTAAAAATACAAAAATTAGCCAGGCGTGCTGGTGGGCACCTGTAATCCCAGCTACTGGGGAGGCTGAGGCAGGAAAATCACTTGAACCTGGGAGGCAGAGGTTGCAGTGAGCTGAGATTGTACCACTGCATTCTAGTCTGGGCAACAGAGTGAGACTCCATCTCAAAGAAATAAAAAATATAAAAAGTTTGAAAAGCACCTGTGACTTGAGTCTATTTTCAGTTGTTTTACTCAGCTAAGGAAAATAAAGGTAGAAACTTTGTTTTTAAGATCTTCTGAAAAGGACATAGCCCCTCCTCCTGAAGAATGTCTTCAGCTCATCAGCAGAGCCACCCAAGTGTTCAGAGAACAGTACATTCTTAAACAGGACTTGGCAAAGGAGGAGATTCAACGGAGGTATGATGTCCTTTGTTCACAAACCATTAATCCCTGGCTGGTAGCTGATGCTATGTCATAGCCTAGACCTGGCTTCTGATTAAACTCTATTTCTTTTTGTTCTTGAAGGGTCAAATTATTATGTGAACAAAAAAAGAAACAACTAGAAGATCTCAATTATTGTCGAGAGGAGAGGTAAGTGTCAAAAATAGGGAGATGAAAACAGTAAGACTGGAACCATATTCACCCTAAGATTCTGAGCCACATTAGTTGGTTTCAGCATCAAGGTGTGGACCCCAGGAGTCTCTTGTTTCTTATGTCATTAGGAAAAGTCTGCGGGAAATGGCTGAGCGTTTAGCTGACAAGTATGAGGAAGCCAAGGAAAAACAAGAGGATATCATGAACAGGTCAGTGGGCTGTGTAACATGTAGCTACCTACTCAGTACTAACAGTGATATTTAAGAAAATGGGCATTGGCAGGTGCGTACATACCTGCAGGACTGAATTGATCCCCCTACCTTTCCTCTGAAGTACATATTGGGGAAAACATGACGCTCTCCCTTAGACCTTCCTATGGGGCCTACTTCCCAGAGACCAGATTCATGAATTAAGAGGTTTGTGATTATGTTTCTCCTAATTAGCAGAGACCTTAAGTTGAGATGTGTGCTTGTCTTTTCTGAAGGATGAAAAAAGTACTTCACAGTTTTCACTCTCAGCTCCCAGTTCTCTCTGATAGTGAGCGAGACATGAAGAAAGAACTACAGCTAATACCTGATCAACTTCGGCATTTGGGCAACGCCATAAAACAGGTAGGAATAGATGCAAAGTAGCTGAATTTGGTAATTTTTTTAAAGCACTTATTCTACAGAAAATTTTACAAAAATGTAAAAAGAGCAGATTCAAAAAGATAGTGTGAAAATGTGTGGCAAACCATTGCCAGAATATCTATTTTTGATACTTAAGGTCACTATGAAAAAAGACTATCAACAGCGAAAGATGGAGAAGGTGTTGAGTCTTCAAAAACCCACCATTACTCTCAGTGCCTACCAGCGAAAGTGCATTCAGTCCATCCTGAAGGAAGAGTAAGTAAATACTTCCAATCAGCTATTACTGAGATAGTTTTTCCTTTACACTATACCACAATCAACCTCTGTCTTAATAGAAACCTGAATCTTGGTATTTGCATGTCATGTAATTACTGGGATGAGAGCCACATGATACATAGGGACTTAAGAAATAACTATAGTGGGAGGACTGAAAATTATGACCTTCCAATAACATGATTTTGTTGTGTGGCCAAAGGTATTTTACAATTATGTTCAAAAATATTTCCAGTACTAGCATCACTGTTTGCCATCTTAAATGAATAGTGAACACTATTGCTATCCATCTGAAACCTTCAGCTGTTAATTTTGGCAAAGCAGTTCTTAGATACTTCAACATTAACCATTTCAATTCTTAAGAATCCATACAAATGGTTTATTACATTTCCAAAAGTAAGTGACTTTACGATTTTACAGGGGTGAACACATAAAGGAAATGGTGAAGCAAATCAATGATATCCGCAATCATGTTAACTTCTGACACCACCAGGAGCCGAATCACACTTGAAGTGAACACCACTGAAGGCTTAAACTCATATTGTAAAACAGGTAGCATTATCTCATTTATAAAAAGGCATTTTGGATGACCTTTGGTGTGGTTTTTCATCTTTTTAAATAGTTTTATATTTATTCAATAAATGCTTTTATTTAAAATTGGAATGTGCTTTGTAACTCGAGCCTACAGTGGTATTCAGCAAGGACTCAGGATTATTTCACTCTACACTGCCAGAACCTCCCTGAGCTCTGTTGAGTTTTCTCCAGATCTGAGCAAGAATAAAAGCGCTGTTTTCAAGTAGCACCAGAAATATGACTCTGAAGAGGGTTAGAACCCTAGGATTCAAAGGAAAAGACCACACAGTGTACTCGGCAGCAGCTTTTTTAATTTGAACACTTTCTTAAGGACACGCCTTCAGTACAGTTAACAAATGGTTACACTTGAAGTCTGCTGAGAGCAGAGCTCAAGATCCACAACTGCAAAGGCCACTGCTGGCTCACTTCCTCACAGGCAGTATTACCTTTCAGAGCTGAGTAAGGCTGTGCTCTATGCCACAATACTTGTTATTGAGTGGACATGAGGTGCAAGTTTAGCACCTTAAAGGGAGAAAAAAATAGATTAGTATGCAGAATGTGACTTTGTTCTCAGTTCTCTTTAAGTCTTTTTTTCATACTTGCCAATGAGTTCTGAAAGGTAGTACTATACCTGCTTAGAAATGGCTGAGTGACTGCCAATTTAAAACCACATAAAGTAGGTTACAGGTAAGAGGTAAATCAGGTTAGACATGCGTGAGAACATGTATGCACAGACTGAATATAAACACAGGAACACTCGTGAAACCCGACTGATTCTTCTGGGCTAAATCCTGCCTTCTCAATCAGTTCCCATTTATGCTGAAAACCCAGCTGAAAGAACTGTTTCCTCCCTGTACAGGGTCACAGTAGTTTGTTTCATACCAGAAACGCATTGTCAAACAAAATCTAGAGTCTCAGTTTGGGTTTTTCTACAATATTTTTCTCAATAAAGTGAATTCCAATAGTTTGCATTTGCCACAGTAGAAACCACTAACCATTCCCTAAATTGTGATGATTTTATTACCCAGTACCATATTCTAGAAAAAAATATCTGTAAGGTGCTCATCTCAGCAGAACATTTCACTGCAAGCTATAGTTCAGTCAGTTCAGAAAGGCTATGAATTGCCCACCCTGATTTACAGCACTAATTTTAATAATCTGAAGACAAATTTGCTTGGGGCTTATCCAAGGGACTAGTCTTAAACCTATGTAATTTAAATTGATTGCATTTTATAATTAATAAAATCCCCTGTAACTCGATAGTTATGTGTTTCCTTTATCTAAACCATGTAGCACTCTTTATAAAGGGACTTTAAACCAATTAAAATAATGTTTCATGCGCAGCAAGCCTTTAGTACTATTTCCATAATTAGCATTTATTTTTAAATTCATAATCATGAATGCAAGACTACAATAATAACCCAAGAGATGAGGTATGTAGTACTTATCATTTGTCCTATGGAACACGGAAGTACAGAAGATCTTTAGGGCAAGTCCATAGTGACCTTATTTATAACAAAGACAATTTAAGTTGACGGTGGATGGTGGCTTTACGTGAACAAAACAATCTACCTAGTTCACTAACTCCCAGAAGCCTCTTTCAGGTACCCTGCTGTGATGCAACCAATCTCAAAAATTATTTGAAAACCATTTTACCTTTGAACCATCTGGATGATGAATTAAACAGTGTAGCCATCCATCCACTGGATATTCCTGGGTCGGTACTCAGCAGGTATTGGTGAACATGAATCAGTTCTTTGTGCTTTCTGTAGCACTCAATCATCAAGTTATGGCAAAGACCTGTTTCATTGAGGCTTTCTTCACACAGGAAAGGAATCTAACCTCTTGTAAAGTGAGATGGCAGATTTCCAAATTGATCAATATTCTAACTGGCTTTCCAGAAGCATTGTTACTTACATTGCAGATCTGAATTTAAAAGAAAAAATACAAAATATCTGTCAACCTAGTTACCATTTTTGTTTTTGACACATTTGAAACAAGTAGTACTTAAGCCTAATGATCCAAGTTGGAAAAATAAGGAGATTTGTAAATGTATACTAGAGGTTGTCAGACAAAGCTTGTTTTATTAATGTTTTTCACTGATCCAATGACTAGACTAAAACACTTCTAAAGAGTAGATGGTACCAATTTGGCTTTATCCTGGTACCTGTGGGCCCATGACGATCATCTAAGTTTGCAGAAAAAGTGCTTCCAAAGTTTCTTGTGCTTTTCCTTTAACGTTCACATATATATATATATATATATATATATATATATATATATGGCCCCAACCAAGTTTTCAGATCCTCATAATTAATTCACTTCCTGAATTGTTTTGTCTGCCACAGTCCTATGGTTCTCAGGTAAGTTTCAGTAGCATTTAAGGTCCTCCAAAACAAGATAAAATGGTAAAAGGAAAACAAAAATGTACTGAGCAAGGGAAATATAGTCAGTAGCCAATGGCCTGCTCCAAACCTTCATATTTTAATATAAAATATTCATACAGCATACTACACACCTCTGTCTGCTAACTGAATGCTGTTACTGATGAGCTCTAGACAACAGGTAAAGCAAATTCTCTCTTCCAATATCTATGAACAGAAAATTCCAAACACTACTGGGATGTCGCTTTAGGGTAGGGAAATGTGTTCCAAAAATCTATGGGAGAAAGCAGGCAAGGAAACAGCACTTTTTCCATCACCAAATCTGATCCCACGCCTGTTGGAATCAAGCCTGGAATCTCATTAGTGTTCCCATTTGAAGGTATCCTGGCTGCAGATCGCCCCACTGCTGCTGTTTCCTGTGCTGCACAGTCTTCTCCCTCTAGAAGTAAGCATTTCTCCAGTCTTCCTTTTGTTGTGACTTCTCTTTCTTCAGGTAAGAGTTAAATAACAATTAATGTTGCTCTAAAGATGAGTTAAAAACCCAAAGTGCAGGCTAGAATCCTGCCATCAGGGTGTCATGTCTCGGGGAGCTGGTTAATGTCCGTCAGTTTAGTATCATTCAGAATCGCCCGAATTCTCTCCAAGGAGTCCGCTTGCCGGATCCGCTCTAACTGCACCTGAAGAAACAATGGTGAGATGAGTACAAGTGGCTCCTGCCTAGACTTTCTGAACTTTGACTGGTTTAGCTGAGATGCAGCAGATTTAACTTACCAGAGTAGTAGTAATGTCAAAGGGAGACAACAAGAACAATTTAAATTTTTTAAATAATTCCCCGAAGTTACTGTGTAACGGACTGGGATTTATTTTTTATTTATTTTTGTGTGAGACAGTTTTGCTATTTTCACCCAGGCCGGAGTGCAATGGTGTGATCTCGGCTCCCGGCAACCTCCACCTCCTGGGTTCAAACGATTCTCCTGTCTCAGCCTCCCAACCAGCTGGGTCTACAGGCATGTGCCATCATGCCTGGCTAATTTTTGTATTTTTAGTAGAGACAGGGTTTCACCATATTGGTCAGGCTGGTCTCGAACTCCTGACCTCAGGTGATCCACCTGCCAAGGTACTGGGATTACAGGCATGAGTGAGCCACCACTCCTAGCCCCAGCTAATTTTTATAATTTTAGTAGAAATGAGGTTTCTCCATGTTGGCGAGGCTGGTCCTTAACTCCCACCTCAGCCTCCCAAAGTGCTGGGATTACAGCTATGAGCCACCATGCCCAGCCCAGATTAGGATTTTAAATTGTACCTTGTTAGGATTATGGAGACAAATGAGACCTGACTCCTGACCCTTAATCTACAGTTCCACTGGGAAACAAACTTAAGAGTTTTAGAACAATATTCTAAATGTCATTGTCTCATTACAGGTATTCATAGAGTGCTGAGGGAGCATGGCACACGGAAGAAGGCACTTTAGCCCAGCTCAGGGACCATGAAGGGCTCCATGGAGAGGACACACCTATGCTGAGCCTTGAAAGGAAGGAGTCAGGAGGGGATGAGACAAAGATGCTTACCAGATGCAACACCACGCTGTGAGCAAGGAACCATAAGTAGTTAAACATGAGAGTATAAAACAAGACAGATAAGCAAAACACTGGGCTAGGCCTGGCTTGGAAGAGTCTTACATGGTATGCTGAGGAGTTTACTTGACTCATAAGGAGGCAAAATTGGCAGGTATAGAGGAAAAAAAGGGGGCCAAGTCTGAAGAACACACCAGGTTTCTGGCTTGAATGATGAGGCAGACATCTGGGGTGGTGCTAGGAGCAGCCATAGTCTCTAAACCTCTAGCTACTGCCAGTGGTCAAGTCAGGGATCAGCAAGGTTCTGTCCCCTAAAACTGCCTTCATGCTCTGTGGTTCCCCAAATGCCTCACCTGAAGGGTCTGTGAAAGCTTTACAAAATCTCTCTGGACTTGCTCACTGACATCTAATTCTGTCTGTAATCTCTGAGCTTTGTTCTTCTCTTCAAACATTAGTTGTTCAACGGTGGCCTGAAAAATACAAGTTTTGAATGAAGATTAATGCCAAAGAGCAAAGGTCAGAATCAGGAAATCTAGTAACTTGTAGTTACCTACTACTAGAGCAGAAAAGTGGGAGGGTATCCATCACACTCCTATATACTACCAGTCTCTTCCATCTATAAGGCAAGAGTGCAAGCCGTCTAGAATATTTGTTCTAGGTCCTAAGATTAACTGGGTATGAAAGCCAGAGGAAGAAATGGATTAAAGTGCTGCACCCCCACCCGCAGTGGCTGGTGACTGGCTATAATCATCAAAACACAGCTGCTAAGATCAGCATCTGTCACAGCAACAGGGATACAAACAGGATTTCCTCTGACAATCTCAATAGTCAAGCATCCACCAGGAAACAGTGAATATGCCCCAGTCAGCCCCAGCTATCCCCAATCTCTCTAGCAGAAAACGAGAAGGATGTGTGGGAGCCTTTCTGAAAACAAACAGTTAAACAACACTGTCTGTACTTCAAGGTCTGACCACTAAGCTCACTAAGACCATTTCTAGGAAAGTACCCCCACAACATGCATATTTATTCTAACAGAACTAACCAAAATTTAGGCAGCAAATCTGGTTTGATACAATCTCTCCTTGGATTTGATATATCCGTCAAATGGAATGATATTTTCAAATCAGTGCTTCTAACTAGGTAGTGCCCAAGCTTGGTCAATGGCCCTGATTGCCTACTATCTGAAGTAAGCCAAAGACACATGCCTTCAGAGCTAGCAGAAAGATTTAACCCCGCTGTAACAGATCAATTTGTTTACATTTTTTCTTTTCACAAGCTGACAATCTTGCCAACTTTTTAAAAAGTGACACTTCAAAGTACCAATATTTTTTTCTTAAACACATAAGATGTGATCCTACATTCTTAGTCCTGCTTTTTAAAATTAAATGACCAAGAAAAATACTACCTTAGCAGCAGTCTCTTTCTTTAACTGTTCTTCCAAACCGATCTTTATTTCCTGAAGACTCTCAAGCTGTTGAGACTTCTCTCTTAATGTGGACTCCAACTGTGAAAAAGGAAAAGGCTGAAACTCATAGAAACTCCCTTAGAGCCCCAGTATACTGCCTAAAAGAGCCTATGGCCTGGAGAATTACACCGAGACTCTCAGGCTACCCTTGGAATACTACTACTCTCTCTTTCATCTCTGTGGATCTCCTATGTATTCTTCCTGAACTATTCTTTCATTAACCATTAATTAGGCACTTAAACTATATTCTAAGGCCTCAAGATGGAGAACAGAGAAACAGACATGGATGAAGGAAGAAGCATTTAATTCTGCCAGAAAAGTTACAAAGGACTGAGGAGAGGACATTTGACTCCTATATTTTTACAGAGGAAAGACAAGGGTGACATGGGGGAGAGGATGCAGAGAGATACTCTAGTCTAAAGAGGGAATGGAGGGCATGCATTAAAAACGCATGCAGGAACAGTGGGATGTTCGGCTTGCCTACAAGCACAGCAAGTATGTTGGGAGCCACAGACTCCCAACATGAGGCGGAGAGGTGCTGAAGCAGGAGAGCTATTGGTGGGCCAAGGATATAGACATGATCCTGTACATAAAGGGAACCACTGGAGGGCTCTCCACTAGACTGGGACGTGATCAAGTTTATAATTTGTAAAGATCATCTTGATTTCAATATGGAGATGAATTAGAAGGGGACAGATTTTGGAGGCAAGGAAGTTAGGCTGTTACAGTAAGTCAGGTGAGAGTGAAGTCTGAACTCAAAAGAGTGGCAGCTGGAGTGGAAAGGATGTGATGTATTTAGAGCACTGGTCATTTCTTCTGGTGCAATATCAGTAGCAAAGTGGAGGCAGAAAGCAGACTGCAGCAGGTGAAGGGGTGACTGGGAAGTCAGGCAGTGAGATGAGCAAGACTGTGGCAACAGGAAGGAAGAAAGATTGGTATCTTGGGAGAGGAGTGCAAAGAGAAACGTCTTCTCTGAATGGGAGACAACTGAGCCTATTCATGCATCATGGAAAATACCAGTCAAGAGCTGTGAGGGGACATCTGGAAAAGTCCAAAGATACTCAGTAAAAGCACCTATGCCAAGGCACTATGGTCAGAAGCAGGTCATTATTTTCTCTGAAGAAAAAGAGAAGGCTGGGAATAAAAGGAGAACCTGTAACTGAGGAGCCCAGTAGCTGAAGGTGGCCCTGCCTTATGCCTGAGGACTGAGGCCAGCATCTGCTGAGCGATGGGGCTGAGGTAAAGGTGACTGAAATTGCCCCTCTAAGGAATGGAAGAGATGCAATTGAGGACACATGAAAGGCTGCATGAGAAACACTGGAGGCCTATCTGGCAGCATGAGCATGCAGTGTCACCAAGTCTGGTGGCATCACCAGCTAGGGACAGCAGGACTAGTCCAGGGTTCAGCAGTAGTCAAGTGAGGGCAGCAGCAGGACAAGGAGTCAAAGAGGGGGGCAGATGTGGTGGGTGATGAGGGGAAGTAAGATGCAACCTAGGGGAAAGCAAGCAAGCCATGAAGCTGTTACAACCAGGATAAAAGGGAAAACAAACTGGAGGCCTGAATGAGATACTCAGATGGATAGGCCTGCAGGATGAAGAGCTGGCAGGATGGCAGATTGTGCTCAAGGAACTAGGCTGCAGTGAGATGACACAGTCGGGCAAAGTTCAGCCCAGTGCATGGGAAGGGAGGGCAGAGTGGAGGTGAAAATCTCTAAATCAAGGAACGATGAGGTCAAGAAGTTGAATAGGATTACTATGAAAGGTAATGATGATGTCTAAGAGACTAAACCAGCTAGAAAACATCTCGTTTGTACTGTTTTCATACATATTTCCACTGTACCTCTAAGCATATGCCATGTTATGACCATGCCTGGTCTATCTTCGCACTACACTAGGCAACTCCGGGCTACAGACACATTAGCCTCACCTCCTCAGTTTAACGTGGCCTGACACACGAGGCATTCTCAGTCACATCACACCCTTACCCCATTGTCTTTTCCCCACTAGACAGAAGTTTCTTAAGACAGGGCCCATGCCTTAATTATTTTTTGTTTGTTGTGTCTAGCATAGAAGTCAATAAATAACCACTGGTTGCTGAAATTTGAAACTCACGACTTACCTGTCCTTTTTCTACCTTTATTCTTTCTAATTCAGCTTTTAAGCTAGAAATGGAAGCTAGAAGAAAAAAAATTGAGACGTGTTAGCATTCATCTATTATTATTGATGAAAATTGTTTTAAAATTTTAGACACCTCCAAAGGATGCAAACATATACTGAACATGGGTTGTGGGGCTGCCTTCTCAAAATTATCACCAAGCAGTCAGCATATTTAGGCTCAGGTCCACGCAAATGGCTACTGTATCATAAACTACTTCTAGATCATATATCATATCTCTGCAGGGAACTGCCACGCATCAAATCATGTTCCCCTGGGTCTGGGTTCAAGTACTGAGTCTCCTATCTATGAATAATTGCCAAAAAGGCCACAGAACTCATAAACAGACAAGTTTTTGGCTGGGTGTGGTGGCTCACACCTGTGATTCCAGCACTTTTGGAGGTGGACGGATGACCTGAGGTTGGGAGTTCGAGACCAGCCTGACCAACATGGAGAAACCCCATCTCTACTAAAAATACAAAATTAGCCAGGCGTGGTGGCTAATTTTTGTATTAAAAATTACAAAAAATGGACTGAGTCCTTACTAAATTCTTTCCTATGCTTTTACGTGTTCCAGACTCCACGGTCATATATTACTTCTTTAATACAGTTTTATTTAGTGACTCTTATTCCAAACTACATCACTATTATCTTCACCTATTTCCTCCTTGCAGTTTTCTATTTCTAGCTGCAGAGTTTCTTCAAGATTTTCTTTTAATGTCCGCACATTAATGATGTCCTCACGGTATTTTAATACCAATTCCCGCAGTGCCTGGATTCAACAAATAAATTATTATTGGGTTTGTGAGAGTG